TGCCAAGTTCCCCTTTAAGTGCTGACCGGTTTACCTCCCTCGTCACTCACCCTGTAGCCACAAGGCCATTCCCCCTATATGACTTCTCTCTGCTTCCTTTTTTTAATTGACTGGGAGGGACAGAGTTAGCATAATTTAGAGGTTTTACACTTTAAACTCACCATTCTTCCATTTGTGTTGTTCAGTTGGTTCAGTTTGGCAGGCCCATCTCTGTGTTGGGTTAGGGTAACTGTGGCTTTGGTGACATAGTAGTGATGTATCTGCTCAGAGTTCAGCTTTTTTCAGCTCAAGGTGCCTGAATTGTCTCTCCAAAAACAGGAATGACGGCATACAGTTACAATGTGCGGGGCTAGAAAACCAACAGCAGCATTATCTTGATAGTACAAAATAGTGAGTATGATGCAGTGTTTTTCTTATACTTGTTGTGTGAGTGTGTTGGGAGCAGATTATCAACCTCACTTCAGAATCAGTCTGCATTTTTAAATTCCTGTAACCTGAGCCCGACTTTAAGAGTACATGGGCTACGTGTGTAGTGTAAATTAAAGAGCCGTCATGTGACAGGACTAGCAGGCTAGTACGAAATAGATTCTGGAGCGGAGTTCTGTTCAAGGATTGTTGGCAGTAATAGGCGGAACTGATCCTAGGCAGAGAGGTTTGGGGTACCAGTTCCCTCGAGGCATCTCCCAGTGGATTTGCTGACGGACAAGTCAGACTTGTTCGTAAGATTGTAGTGTCAGTTTCATTTGCTTTTACAGGCTGGATGGAGCCGTGGGAATCGAATGCTACTAGCACCGATTAATTCTGGATCTTTCCTCTTTTGATTGGGTGTTTGCTGGAAGCCGTGTTTTTGAATGGGGGGCAGTGAGGTGCGCTTTGGAGGCATTTTGTTTAAAGCGAATTTACACCAGAGATTCACAACAATACTAATTGTATTAATGTCTTCACATACGAAACTTTCAACTATCATCTGTAAAAATTTCTTCCTCTTGAAAGCATCATGTCTTTGGAGGATGCATGGTGTATGCAGTATTATTGCTCCAATCAGGGTTTTTGATCACAATCACTAGAAGCAGTACCTGCTGATAAGGGTCACTGATCACCGGGTCTATTTAAAGCCTTATGTTTATAGTGCATGCATACACCTACACCGCTGTCTCAGACACCGACTTGCCCCACCCTGCTTCTCACTGTTCCTCTCTCCATATACAGGCTGTGTGCATCTGCTCTGTTCATTTGTTGGTCAGCAGTAAGTTTTATAAAATCGCCTAAGAAACACAACTGTTGGAAATGTTTTGACCTGCAATTCTGTTTTCACAGCAGCAGGTGAGCTGCACATTAACAAGGAGAAAACAAATTTGTTGCTTTACCTGCTCCGTGCTTGTTAAACATCCACCAGATAACGTCTCTCTCTATTTCTCTGCAAAATACTAAAATAAGTCCCTGACTGTTAATATACCAGTGGCCCGCCCAAGTAAATCTGTGTGTGTCAAAGGCTGAATAACTTTCCTGTGGAATAAAAGTAGCATAGGACCTGGGTAATGGCTAGGAAAAAAGGTAGGGAGAACCAGTGCTCTGAGCAATATTTCAGTGCATCTCAATCCCATTTCCTGGCAGCTTCAAGTACTGATGCTATGTTTTTTCTGCCTTCCAACCCACTCAGGGGTCACTGTGAATAGAAGACATAGATAGACTCTTTGGTCTCAGATAAGCTCCCATATAGTTAAGATGCCTTCTCTCTATATGCAGCTAGTTTTGTCCATCCCATAACCTGGATATAACAACCTCCTATCACTCAACAGGCCCTTAGGGCTCATATAGAAACCAAGGCGCTTGAATGAAAATGGGCTCCAGTGAGTGGTGGTCCTTCACTAAAGGCTTAGTGAGATGGAGTGTGACGCACCAATGAGATCTAGTACAAACATCCTTGTCTTGTGTGCATACAAAACACTCATTATAACAACATATGCATGGACAACAATTTCACTTGGTTGCCCCCTCCCCCGTTGCTTAGCAGCAATGCATCCAGCACAAACACTGGATTCATGATGCATTGATTGGACCTGAAACTAGCAACCGCAGCTGTCGTAGTAACGTGCAGATCTGACACTGCGCCGTCCCAAAAGGTTAGTCATTTTGTACCTTTACACAGTTCACCACACCGTTACAGCCAGAGCAATGTGCAGCCACCATTTCTGCAGTGTTCAGGGTGAAGTATGGTTCCTGAAGCACTGTGTGGTATATGGGTATGCACACCCACACACAAGCTGTCATCTCTGGCAGATAAATAGCCTTTGTGTCCAGGGATGGTACAGCAGGGCACATCTGTCCTTGTGCACCGGAGCAGGGTGCATTTTAGGCTCCACACACTCATATGCAAACACTGAGCTGAATGTTTTAACTGTGTTGTAGTTGCTTTATTTCAGATGTGTTTGTTGCTTTAGTTATTTCTAGCATCTTTTAGCCCAACATCTTGCAAAAGTGTCAAGAATTCCTGTGTTTTATCTCCAGTGAAAATAAAACTTGGCTGAATTCACAGATTTGCATTGTTAGAACAAAGTGCATCCTTACTTTGGACAGCCATTTGTTGAAAGTGCTGAAAAGCGGTTTCATTTTCTCACCTTACCTTGCAGTTCTTTCAGTCCTTTCAATACAGATGACAGACCCATAGTGGGAATGTTTGTATACATTAACTAGATTCCTACAGCAAATTATGACCTAAGCTTTTAATCTTGGAGCCTTAAAAGATAGCAGAGAAAAATGTTTATTCCAGTATTGTTGGACACAATAGTGTTAATCAAATTTTAAGAGCGTCAAATATCATGAAAGGTGGGTTTGGATGACGAGCTTTTTATGTTTATCAGCTGTTGATTGCCACAGAAGTTAGTCAGGTCAGTGATGCATCCGTCCTCCCGGTAGACACATTTTGGAATGTCCGAAGACGACGACATTTTCTTTTTCTCCTTCCTTCTCTGTGTGGATGTTTCCGCCCCGTCTCTCTCCGTCCACTCCCTCCCTGCCACTCTGCCTCTCCAGGGGTTAAACCTGCGCCTTCTCTCAATCGCAGACCAGTTTGAACCGGTTTTTAGGGAAGCGCTGTTTGTCTCTTATGGAATCTTGGGATAGGGTCATGTGGAGCTGTGATGATGTCATATTGGACTAGGAAGACCTTGAGTCAGCTTTCTGAATCAGATGTGGTGTGTGTGTGTGTGTGTGTGTTAAGGCTGCTCAATTAATCAAAATTTTATCATGATTATGATTTTGGGGCCAAATGATCTCAAAACTAATAATTGGGGGAAAACTTTTTTTTTTTTTCATTTTCTGTTGTGCAACGTT